ACCGCGGTAAATGTGAAACTGATACAGTTGTGTATTATTCAATTGTTTTATGTCTTGGTCACATTTGCTCCGATTTTCACTACGGCGCCCGGCCGATTGAGTATTGTGTTCAGAAATGTATTCAATTTTGAACAAAATACTCGCAGCAAATGTGATCCAGGCATCACACAGCGGTATTTCGAACATACTTTTGTTGCATAACCACGACCCAGCCAATTTTAAAATCATACTCCTTATTTAAATCAAACGATAGGAGCTCATGGAAAGTATACATTTTAACTTTTATACATCTTTACAAATACTAGAAATCTACATGTTTGAGTAGATCACGAAGGGTCCCCACATAGCAGCAGTCTCCATAAAATGCAAAATACCTGTATTGATAACTTGACTTTGACTGATTTTTGAATTGAGATGAACTTGTTGAAACCTCGTGAAACGCCAGATACTAGTACCTAGATGTGACCTTGAAATAATGTTGGGCAATACACATTGACTTTAACCTTAGGTCACCTAATCATGTGTCGTCAAGGGTCATTGTAGCCCTCAAGGTCCTTACAACGCCAAATACTTAGATATTATTTTTTGATCTTGAAACAAACTTGACCCAGTAACATTGGCCTTGAACTCAGTTCACCTAATCGTTGGTTGCCAAGGGTCACAGCAGCCCAAAGGACTTTAAATCACCAAAAACCTAGATATTGATATTTTACATAGGAATGACCTTGACTTCAGGTCACCTAATCATGCCTCATCAAGGGTCGAATCTCAGACCAAGGGTAAAAAACGCGTAAACCTAGATATTGACATTTTAAAGAGAGAATCGGATCTAGCAAGCAGTCTAACAAAAAAATTGTTTCAATTTTAGAATATTTCTGGCTTATGTCATTCCTTTTCATGTCTATTTTCTAAAAAGCCCAAAAGTGCACACTTTATTTCAGGAAAACTAAAGAGTTTACAACAATGACCTTTGTATATTTCTTCTATAAGAATGGTTACTTATTATTTACATTTTTGCACTTTTAATATATTATATCTTCATCAATTTCTAACACATCGTAAATATTTTGTAAGATATTGTATTTGAGACTGTATGGAATAGTGTACCGTACGTCAGTTGTACATGTTGCTTGTAATTTTGTCACCTCCATATATCTGATTCTGCCTTTAATCTAGAATGACTTTGACCTCTGACCTTAGTAGAACGCTCACTGGCCCATCAAGTATGAGGGCAAAAGGAGATGTCGAGACCTACTATAAAGCATGTTCGGTCTGTCTGTCATTTTGTCTGTCTGTCGGAACATCTCCTTCTACACCAGTCCTTAGTAAGTTGGTCTCCGAAGGTCAGAGTTAAGTTCATTCAAAGATAAACGATCAATGTCTAGGTATTTGGCATTTGATGATACTATGGCCCTTGGCGAATTATGATTAGATGAACTGAGGTCAACATTAATGTTTCTTGTACAAGGTCATCCCAAGCTCAAAGATAAATATTTAGGTATTTTACGTTTCAAGACCTTTGGACAAATTCGATTCAATTCAAGAATCGGTCAAGGTCAAAAAATCAATATACAGGTATTTTGTATTTTTTTGTAAAGATGTATTAAAGTTAAAATGTATACAAAGATAAAATAGGTTAGCTCCTATCGTTTCCTTTTGTATACGTTTATGTCTCTGCGTAATAACGCAGATGCGAGCAGGTAGTTACCAGTCTCACCACAAGGTGACTCGTTCGGGTCAGATAGCATGGCGAGTATGGTAGAAAGTTCCCTTTTAACTTAAAGTACATCTGTTTTCGTGGTTCAATTTTCATATCACCCTTAAAATGTATCTAATAGCAATATTAATGCAAATTAAAATATGTCCAGTGAAAGAAAATGCAATACAAGAATAGATATTTCACTTTTTGTGATTTTGTAACTATGGGGTTATTTTTTGTATAACGCATCGAAACATCTTTAAAAAGTGAGCAATGTCAGTGTTGTGATAATAACGCCCCTCATACCTATTTATTACAGGTCGTGTAGATCATTGTTGCCTGATTTATTGCAAAAACATGATGATGATGATGCGCCTTTTATAATAGATCTCATATCTTAGAAGCGTATCAGTTCAAAAAAATACTAGAAGACCTTACATATTTTGCCATGCACTGCGCCTATTCATTTGGCAATTCAGTTGTAAATTTTATCTTGAAAAAAAAATCTTCCAAATTTGTTGAGTTTTCTTGCAGAAATCGCCTACTCCCCCCCCCCCTCCATCCATTTTGTATGATCACCGGGCGTGATTTAAGCTGCTGATATTCTTCTTTAAACGAGTCGGATCTTCAAAATCTATAAGTTAGACTCCCTTTATAGAAGCTTTTGTTCATCCATACATTTTAAGAAAAATGTATAAAAAGAGATGTTAAGCCAAATGTTGCCCTAAAAATTCAGAAAATGTAAAAAATTTCGAATTTTCTATGTACAGGCCTTGTTGCCCCTTTAAGAAGCTCAACATGTAAATTATCTAATCAAACACTTCGTCCACCATTTTGAAACACTATAAATCAATCCAATCTGTGCTAGCGATTCATATATAGGGCGAGCCATTGGGATATTTCCAGGGTTCGTACACACCTGGAAATGTCAGGGAAATTGACTTAATTTTCCAGGTGCTGGAAATGTCAGGTAATTTTAAAATTAGGTCAAAAGGGCCAAAGATGACCGGGAATTTTGAAACGGTAGATATGTCAGGGAAATGTCAGGGAAACTTCATCAGTGTTGAAAAAATAATGTTCCAGAAAAAAATGAGGACTATGACAGGATATCAATGAAATCCAAAATGTAATATTTAGATGATTCCACAGGCTAAAGTATGAAAATGTATAACATATATATTTTACACTGTCTTGATTAATGAATTTCATAGATCGAGAGGCCCTTCAGGAGTGGAAAATCTTAAATTATCAGAGATTAATGTTTCCAATCTGTTTTGAAACAAACTAACGTCTTGTTTTCAAACTACACCTTGCTCCTTTCTGTCGTATTTAATCAAAAATAGTATATCACGGAGGGATACGAACCACTCACCTGGGATTTGGTTATTCACAAGCGCCATAGGCGTTCACCTATTCTGGATACAACTGCCGAGTCGTATTTAAGTGGAGTCAAAAGTGAGGATCATTTTGAATTGGTTAGCGTGCCTGGCTTCCACGCTATAGGTTAGTTGATCGAGACCCGTTCATGTCGAACTTTTTTGATTTGCTTGTTGTCAAGATATAATAAGTAGGGCAAAATCCAGAAAAAGTAGATCAAAAATACTCCAATGGAGCATAAAATTGTCACCAGGATTCCGAAATGAGACGAATGTAACTCGTTAAATCTCGGTAGATAAGGTAGGTCAGAAAATCCGGTTTGATCCGAACTAGGTTCGGGAATTTTCGTCATAAGAAGTAGATCAAAAATACTCCAATGGAGTATAAAATTGTCACCAGGATTCCGAAAAGAGACGAATGTTAACTCGTGAAATCTCGGAAGATAAAGTAGGTCAGAAAATCCGGATTAATCCGAACAAGATTCGGGAATTTTCGTCATAAGAAGTAGATCAAAAATACTCAAAATGGAGTATAAAATTGTCACCAGGATTCCGAAATACGACGAATCGAATCGGCAAACTTCGGTACAATAATGAAGTGCATAAAAACCGAAATGATCCGAACAACGTTCGGATAAAATCGTGAAACAGGTGTCAGGGGCTTCCCCTCAGCTTTTCCGACATGGTTCTAAAAGCCTTATATGGATCTATCACGTGACATTCAAAATGACGTTCCTATATGGTTCTATGGGCCTTATATGGATCTTTGGAACACGTGACCTAATACCAAATCAAAATCAAAATTTTACCTTGATCATTGGATGGGATTTCATAGAAAATATCCAAGAAAACATATTCTCGTGATCCTTAAATCACTTAAATTCGATCATTTTATCTTCACCCCTTGATGGAATTTTATGAAAGAAGTTATGAAAACACATCATCATGTAAGGGTTTTTCACCTAAATTAAAAATGAAAAATGTTTCATGAAAAATATTATCATGTTATGATTTGTATTTAAATAAGACCGTTTCATCTAAATACTTGCTGGATAATATTTCATAAAAAATGCACTTTAAAAATATTTCGCGATTTGCCTTAATTTATCAATGTAATGTGAATATTAGATTGACTCTATTTTAACTTTTTTTATTGAAATTAATACTAGGCAGGACCCACTCTTTAAATAGCTAATAAAAATTCAACCCTTGGATGTGATTTCGTTGAAAAAAAAATATGGCAAGTCCAGAATCAAATGATTCGTCCAGAACCTCTTAATATCATGTTATATTGCATGAATTGTGTTCTTAATGCTCTTGCTAAAGCAGCTAGTCATGGACCACGTCTCTTTGGTATGGCTGTCAAAGTTAGTAATAATATATATTGAATTGTGTTCCAAACGTTCTTGCTACAGCAGCTAGTCATGGACCACATCTCTTTGGTATGGCTGTCAAAGTTAGTAATAATATATATTGAATTGTGTTCCAAACGTTCTTGCTACAGCAGCTAGTCATGGACCACATCTCTTTGGTATGGCTGTCAAAGTTAGTTATAATATATATTGAATTGTGTTTCAAACGTTCTTGCTACAGCAGCTAGTCATGGACCACATCTCTTTGGTATGGCTGTCAAAGTGAGTTATATTGCATGAATTGTGTTCCAGATGCTCTTGCTAAAGCAGCTAGTCATGGACCACATCTCTTTGGTATGGTCTCAAGTATCACGTGGATGTACACATAGGCCAAGGGACAACGAATCAAGTGTCTTAGATCACATAACTAAATAATAAGAATTGTCAATGTCAATAATAAGAATTGTCAAGATGAAGAATGACTTTAATATAAAAATGGTTTGTGCATGTATGTACATGCATTTTTTTTACAGATTTTCACCTTGTATACAGCTATAATTTTCTATTTTCCAGGATGCCTGCGAAAAGTTGGTCGTTCGATTGAAACCGTATAAACAAAAAAATCTTGACAAACCATGGGAGAAATGGGTAAATGCTTAAAAATCTATTTTTGGGATGATATCTCTGCTCATCACCGTCAAACATGTTTTTTCACCTGTTATAACCTGTGTATAAAGGATAGTGCCAACTACACTTATCTGCTGAAAATAAAGTGTCATGAAACAAGCCAATGGATGGAATAGCGCAATCTTTGTGATTGACGAATACCTTACATACCAGATGATATCAACAAAAGAACATAATTTCTCCAATAGGAATTAGCATAAAATTTCTACAACCGTACATTTCGTATATGCGTCCAGTTGCATTTAGTGCTTCTGTACATACGGTCATTTAAACATGCATGCTGACATTTTTAGGTGATGGATGCGTATCTGGACTCCACTAATCTCTCGGCTGCTGGATTCTATGATCGGGGACCGCAACATTACCAGAATTTTAATAATCCATATGATGGTGGAAAAGGGCACCAATATTATGTGTGTGGCACAACCGTTGCTGAGGTTGAAGTTGATTGTCTTACAGGAGCTAATAGAGTAAGTGACGTTATTAATTATTAATTATACTCAGGCATATTTCAAATAACCATGAATGTTTTCATTTTAGAGCATTTCAGAGCGTCCTTCATAGGTCAAAACGTTAAAAATAAGCCGTCACGCGTAAAATTTTAGGAGCGCGATATTTTTCAAAATGATGTAGAATCATTATTTTTTCATCAGTTTTGATGATGCAGGTAGGAATCAATTCCTGGGACAGATTAAAGATTTAAGGTAACAGTGGAATATGACGCTGATTTTTCACCTTCAAACGAAATCACAGGACCGTCACGCTGGACACTTTGCCGACCCCTAGACAACCAAAATGCAATTTATTTTAGAATTAATCATTTTTAAGGGTTTAAATTAAAATTGGAAACAAGGTTTTGGCTAAAATTAACAAATCTGAAGAAAAATATGAGATATCGAATGATACTTAGGGTATGAGAAATGTCCCATTTAGTATTTTTTAGCTTAAAATGCGTAAATCCAGCCGTCATGTACGCGCATTAGAACTAAAAAAATATATCAAATCAAAAACATTTTAGATATAGATTTTTAGTATATTTTATTTCTTGGAAAATTTCAAACACTTCCAAACATGAAGAAGCGCTGAAGAGAATGCTCATCTGTTACTAGTTTAACCATAATTTTACAGCCGCCGAGAGCAATTGGGAATTTTCTGGCAACACACCACCATACATTTGGATTATTAAAGACATGAAATCATACGATCTAAACAGTCTGACAGTGAGACCATTGTACATAATTAATCTAATAAACGTTCTCTACGTTTGTGCTTTCGAGATTTCCGTGAAAACAAAGCTTCTTCCAACTTTGTTTGGTGATTCGAATTTTACAGTCTAACATGTCAATTGCGTCAATTGCGTTCTGTGACACACTAATTTCAAATATCAAAATATCATTTCCACTTAAAACAGAAATGTTTACGCATTTTGTAGCATAACTACAGTCATTGCGCTTCACCTAATGACCACTATTTCAGCCCTTGAATATTCCCCAAAGTATAAGTTGGCACTGAATTGGTTATTGTAAACCTAGAAATTATCTTTTCTTGGCTAAATATATTTAAAAGATCACTATATTTAGCAATGTCCATTTCTTCTCTGCAAAGAAGTCTCGTTTGAATGTCACGCCATAAAATCTCCTTATGCGTGGATCTCGTTCGGGTCTCAAACAAGTGAAAGCCGTTTCGTTATTTTTGGATCATGAAATAATGTATCTTTCTGATCAAATACTAGTCATCTGTCAAAAGGCCTTGTTGTTATGCTGGAGAATATGAAGAATGCGTATATGTGTCTATTGAATCTAGAATAAGTTTATATATAGTCACGCAATGTGTATTCGGGGGCTATCGTAAGCTTAACTACATGTAGGTGCAGTATTTAGCACTAAAATATTATCATTGTTTCCATGCCCCGGGTAGACCTGGACTTCCCGGATCACCCTTTGACCCTTTGAAATCAAAATATCCCGGAAGACCATCAATTCCAGCTGGGCCCACATCGCCCTTTGATCCTTTAATTCCTGGCACTCCATCGAATCCGCGTTCGCCTTTTGAGCACTGTGTTCCCAAGATGTTATCACCACTTTCACTTTTTGCTCCTTTTCTTCCTCTTCTACCACGTTTACCGTTTCGACCGACATCACCTTTTGACCCCGGAATACCGGGTTCGCCTTTCATTCCACCGGGAAGTCCTGGTACTCCTGATTCACCTTTCAATCCTCCGTCACCTGGTGGACCCCTCGCCCATTGTCCCTTGGCTCCAGGAACGCCGGGTGCACCGTCCAGACCGGGCAAACCCCTATCACCCTTCAATCCTGAAAGTCCTTGAATGCCAGGGTATCCGCGATCACCCTTTTCACATTTTTGTTCCATGCATTTAGCAGTCATTTCTTTTCTCATTTGCGCGAGTATTTCATTTAGTTCACCTCTTGTCACAATGTACCTAGCATTGATTACATTTGGATCCCGAACATCGTTTGGATCAGCATTAGTATAAAGGTATAGCGTTGCAGCAAACAATGCAAACTGAAGCAACATCGTAGACAAATCTTAATCGCGCTTGTTATTAGTTACACCCGTATTGATTTGAAAACTGCACAATATCTTGAAATTTACTTGGCCCCTTGTGTATTCAACATGGTGTCAAATTTGAAGTAGTTAAAGATGTAGGCTAATCATGTTGCGATATTTTGGTATTGTATTTTCCGCCATTTCCGTGATTTGTGTATCTAGCCAAGGAGACCAACCCGAGATTCATTTCGAAGGAGATGTACTTGATATTGTACATTCAACTCCATCCACAAAATTACTCGTTTCGTTTGGTAACATTACTAAAATTCACGAGTTTAGATTAATGCCTATGTTATCTTTAGAAATTCTCTTGAGTATGGATGAGTGAATAACACATGAATGAGTGAAAGAGAGTAATCTCGTGGGGAGTGACCGAATAAAATCACGCAATGGGTAGTTTACAAACGTTCAATAAAAGGGGGCGCCCTTTAAGTAGCTCAAGTGGGGCAACCTATTTAAATTGATGAATAGGTCAGTTACAAGGCGTAGAGATCAAGGATAGTTAAGTGGTAGGTGAAGGGCGTAATATCAATGTAGTCGATTAATTATAAATGCTTAAATTGTGAGAGAATATGGGTGATCGTCTAGCTTACTATTACTCGCACATTGACAATGAAGAATTATTATGATTATATAATACCAGTCAATATATTTCCTATCACTTATTGGATAGTTTTAGTACTTCAAAATATATGTACAATTATTTCAAAATAACAACACTAGTTACAACTCAGAAGTAGTTACAGATATTGTCTAAGTTACCAAAACCAATGCAAGGTAACCATTTAGTACTTTTAACTACGGGTTTTAGAACTCCGTATAAAATAGCAATTCAACCAAAAGATTGATGAAATCAAAGAACCAAAATAATGCTAGAGAAAACCGTCCAAGGTTTTGTAGCTTAATTGACTTACTTGTATTACTTTTGAGCAGCTCTTGGCTTAGACGTGCAGTAGCGTAGACGTTCTTGTAGTTCAATCCCGAATTTCGACCCCGTTAATTTCGTTCTCTGAGTTTCGACCTCTGAATTTCCACCCAGTAATGATCATGATACCCCTTTTTATACCCATTTTAACTATGCTCCACGTACTATAAACGTTGGCTTAAATTGAGAAATAATAAGTGATTCGTATTGAAAACGTGCGTACGAAATATGTAAATAAGTGATTCGTATGTAAAACGTATGTTCAAAATATGTAAATGATGTACGCCATTTTGGAACGTCTGAACTGCGTCACGCCAATACCAGGAGCAATGCTCGATCTTAAATGAAAGCTTGTTTACAAATCAGTTTGACCTTATTGGGTCACCGGGTCATAGAAACACATGTTGGTGTTGTGAAATACTACACTCAACACCTAGCTCACATAAGGTCCGATTCATCGGCAGGCGATTAATGTTAAAAAAATGAATGCAATTCTGGACAAAGTACTCAATCTCCCGGGCGCTGAAAAATGAATCGGAGCTTATGTGATCGAGGCATAAGTGTACTTTGTTCAACAATGTTCCAGACTCAGAGCAGTTCGAGTTTTCATTATTCCATGTCATGTCTATTTTCTTAAATGTCCAACTCTCCCGTGACTTTATTTCTGCACAGTCCTTCGATTTGCCAGATGATCTGTCAAAAATGAGACGTCGCTTTTATCGATTCAATCCAGACATTTATGTATCTCAAGAAGGTACGGAGTATATCATCTTAAATATTCAATAACTGTGCGCAATTATACATTTTGTCAGATATCTCGCTCAATGCATATTTTTAGAAAATAAAATCAGGATTGAAAAATATCATTGGCATGATTTTTAAGAAAACGTTGCATGCAACATTTTACACTCTCTTTCCATTCTAATTCTTCTCTTAGCTAGTTTTGTCTCTAGTTTTGTTCTCTAGTTTTTTTATCTCTTTTTTTCTAGTCATTTTGTGACAGGAATTGCAAATGATACATGTACGTTTCACTTTGTTATTGAAACCAAAGAACATTCAACATAGGCCTGCATTTTTAACTTAGTGGAGCATGTTTATGTTATGATAACCTAGAAAACTGGAGATGTCAAGTTGAGTCATCTTTCTTCGAATTCGATATGTATAAATAAAAGTATAACTTGGAATAGTAGTTGTTTACTGGCGATATGTGGCTTCATGCTATAGCATAGGGACGATCATTTGACAAGTGTCGGCATAAATGTTTCGTGATATCACACTCTTAAAAGCCCATGTTTTCAATGTATGATATTCTGTACAGCACTATCCTTGATCAGTATCAAGCGAATGTAGCGGCCGTCACCTTCGCATCAAAGATGGCAGGCGGGAAGTGTCGGTTTAAATATTTCTAGTTTTTATCGCTGCGCGGTCATGCTAAGATTTGGAAACAACATCTTCCTGGAAGGGTTCAGCACACACTACACTGAGTCCATTTAAATCCTTAAATGATCATACCCAAGAGTTTCCATGTCATATAAGCGGGATTTAGTTCAAATATGAAACCATTATGTCAACTATGAAGTAGTTTATTTCGATGAGAACTAAAAAATGTCGAAATCGACACTACCCGCCCGCCATCTTTTGCGACGGCCGTTACCTCCACTTGATACTGAAAAGTGACTATTCTCTATAGTTTCATAGTTTCATAATTGAAATCTATAGCTTCATATCAAAATGCTATAATGTGAAGGTGTGGAGTTTGGTACATGTATATGACTATCACAGGCTGTGACATAACCAAAAACCGGGTACATCCATAAAAGAAATTGAGTCTGAGTTCCCTTAGAAAAAAATCTTACTCTTTTCTACTTTGGACTCCAAGACTCAAGTAATAATTATACATGTTCTCGAGACTATCCTGGCCAATACATTAAAAGAATGAACAGTATTTTTTTCTTTTACTGCTGTTTATGGCAAAATGATATATTCCAGGTTCTACGAATAGATGCCACGTTGGATCTTGGACGCAGTTTAAATCCTGCAATAGACATTGGACAAATAGATGGCGCATTTGTTATGGTAATAAATACAATGGGGTCCAAAATGTGAACTCTTGCAACAAGCTATATCTCAGTTATTAGTGACCTTTATATATTTCATCCAGAAAAACTTTATTTCCTCTTAAACGTGCCAGAATATTAGACCATTGATACAGGTAATAACTGAGATATAGCTGTATTGCAACAGTTCACCTTTTGGACCACCCTGTATTTATCTATTTATGATAATATTACCTTCACTATGTAGCAATCAAAACACATCTGATATTTTGCATTTTCGCAATTTTCTATGATTTGAAAACCAGTGAGTAGTTAGAAATTAATGTTTAATCAATGATTCTCTACATTTTTTAAAGCAATGAGTTGTCAGATATTATTGTGAGTGGTACCATGGGCGTTCAAGAGATGAAACCCATGGCGGTACCTACATGTACAGTAGTTGTAGCTGACAATGTGTTTTTTGACGTGAATGATGATGAAAATGATTTCTGTAAATATTCAGAACCACTTGAGTAAAACATTTTGGTTGTCATTGTCAGAGTTATAGAAATATACATGTAAACAAAAAATGGTATAACTGTAACATTATCTCCTTCCCAAGAGGGAGTTACATGTACCTTTCTCCTTATATTTTCTTTTTACAGGCTTTTGGTTTGTTCGTGTCAGAGAAATTGGAATATGATAAGAATGGTTTCCTTGTGTCCAAAGATACTTCCTCTTACCACATTCCTGGTTCAAGGGACATCCCAACACAGTTCAACATACAACTTCTCAACACTGACAGCAAAGAAGCTGTGCTATATGGCTCTAAGGTACATGTATGTCTTACAACTTATCATATACAGTATACAAGTAATAAAAGCCTACTTTATAAAAAAACTGAAACTGAAAATAGGGGCATTCCCATTTTCCATTCTTGCCAGATAATCATAAAATCAAATGTCTCCTATAATTCATTCAGAACTGTTGAGCATTTAGAAAACAGGCATGCCGTGAGATACAAAAACTTCTGTGATATTTTTTCAAAGCTAACTTCCACTTCAATAGCGTACTTCCTTGAACGAATGCCTTACATACAGCTGTTCTGGTATTCTATAGTTATCAAAAATGTTTATATTCTAATCCTGATATAGGGAGTAGGTGAACCTCCAATCCATATGGGGATAGCAGCCTTCATGGCCATCAAAGATGCAATCAGAGCTTCTCGGAAAGAAAATGGTGTGACTGGAAACTTCCAACTTGATAGCCCTGCAAGTTCTGAACAAATATTCCACCTGTGTAAAGCAAGTAGCACCTATCCAAGTGGAATATAAGTAAATATGAGCAGTTCTTGGCCTTAGGAAGAACAGGAACAAAAAAGAAGAACACAGAGAGGGCAAAGTCGAAGAACAAAACATTAATAAATAAGTTTCAGTTTTATGAGTGTATTATATCACAGATTCACCCATGTATAATAAAAATACATTTAAAATGGGCTTCACTCAATGATGACTTATGAGACGCTTATTAGAGATATTTCGCATCTAGTGAAAGTACAACTTATAACGTATACTATACTTATAGGTAAACGTACAAGGTGTTTCATATGTGGGCTTTTCGTCAGGAAAGATCTTCTCGGACTGTAATAAATACAGGTCAAAGGGATGCCATTTGTACTTTCTTGAATTGTAGCATGTTAAGTTGATCCAAATGTCTTTGTCTAGAATAAAATAGGCTCATATATAGTACATATGTTATAGACCCATCTCTTCTCAAATTGACTTTTTGGAGATGCTCGTTATGAAAGAGCAATGCATTATCTTGAAGAAAAGTTCAAAGAAAGGTTCCAAGATCAATTGGATTAGCTTATAACTCGTGTTTAATCCACCCACTAACAGCTTTTTTCAAAATAAAGTAGTTATTTTCACCATCATCAATCAATTTTTCATCACACAAAATATGTAAATCATTCCATAAAGGGATTTATATTTGTTTTTTAAGTTTTTTCGAATTTTCTTTTTTTTAATGCACGTTTACAGAAATAATTTAGAAGTGATGCAAAAGATGGCAATGTCTTTCAATAAACTATAACATCTTAAATATATTATCTTATTATATGTTATATATTAAATATCTTATATATTCATATTCATAATGTCTTAGTGTCGTTTCTAGGTGGTATGTTGTGTAATACCTTAGTAACGTTTTTAATTGTATATTACATCATTGAAGCTTTTTATGGTAATGGTTGCTATTTTTCTCAATACTTTTTTAATTGTAACATCAATGAAGTTTTCTATAGTAACGGTTGCTATTTGTCTCATTGTTATGTAATAATTAATTATTTCAGTTTGATTCAAATATAATTTTATTTCTGAAGAAGTAGGATTGACATCCAACGAAACGTCAAAAAGAAAAAGAAATATCTCTGAGAAAGAAAATTTGTACATTACTACCAGAGAGATGAACATTCATAGAAGCAATGATGAGGTAATACTTTCCAAATCACACATTATTTTATGCCACACATTTTGTTATGTCAAAAACATTAAGTCAGTCATTGGCATCTGTTTTTCCACATATCACAGTTCACTATATCACAGTTTTCCCATATTACAACTTTGCATATCGCGCTGTTTTTCCATTATGATTTTTTCCACTGCACTTTTACATATAACACAGTTTTCCAACATATACAAATATACTGAATTTTTTTTCCACACATCACTGTTTTCCATTATATCACTGTTTTCCATAGTTTCCAATGTATCACAATATAATGCCCCATCGAATTTGATGGATTAAATTTCAGATCTCACAATTTTTCAAAATTATTGTTAATAGTTGATGATGGTGGGTCTGATGGAGGGGATATTGGATCTATAGCAGTCTGTATCAAGCCTTCAGCAAGGTCTATTCAATTAGTTTAAGATGTGTAGCAATGCATCATTTTTGATGTTGGAAAATTGTCTGATCGATATATTCCTAACAATGTCATCTACCAAAAGATCAGCGATATGATGCAAAATGGTGAAGTTATTTAAGATTCAAAGTGCAAAAAATTAGAAAAAATCTTTTCTCCAAAATAATAAAAATGTTAATTATATTTATAGAGATATTAACATAAAATCCATAGTATGCATTTTGGATATTTTTAGAAAATGGACATGACAAGGAATGGTTTGAGCCAGAAATATTCAAACAATTTTTGCTAGATCTAATTTTCCCTTTATAAGAAATTGTACCTGGCAGATGCAGGGGAACCATTGATCTCCAACAGCCAAACCTTAAGATTGGAATCCAACATGAAATCAAAGCCAAATAACTGGAAGCTCTTGTAGTTCAGGCCCGATGTGCTAATTTGCTGAAAAAATAGATGAAATGATAGGTGCTTACAACAAAGTGATGGAACGCAAGATAATTCTAATACATTTGTAACAAAGAATGCACATATAGCTACAAACCCTTGTGACCCCCATACCACCCGATGTGGAAATAAATAAAAGGATCCAGAGACATAAAGCAAAACTAACATCTTCATGCAAATTCAACATACAGTTCAGGTCATGCAATAATTTGGACAATAAATTCAAACACTAAAACATTGGATTAATATACTGTTGAGATATGAAGCTGCCAACTGAATCTCAACAATTCCTCTGAAATATGCCCAGCATATCCAAACAAATAACTGTTCAGGTATATATCTTTATACCAAGAAGCATCCTTGAAAATTGAAATGTAACCCGCGTACCTGTTCTACAGCTTGGAAGCACTGTCTGACAATGGTTTTAATCTGAGGCAGGATGCTGTCTGACATCCTTGTGTTGTACTTGTCCTGCAAGTACCTATAATATAACAGAAGCTGTCATAATATATGTAGAATTTGATGTGACATTTCTGCAAGTTGATATTTGATATGAGTCATAAAATATGATATCACAGGAGATTATCTGATATTGGGTTTATCAAATGATTTCAAGAAATTATCTCATTTATCAAATGATTTCAATCAAATTGCTGTACTTGCAACAAAATGAATTATTTGATCTACTTTCAAAAATCATGTATGTGCAGCTGAAACAGTATACCTCCATTTTTCTCAAAAGAAAAATAAAGCGAGAAGTGTAACGTTGCTGTAACTTTTCTATCCTTCACAGTATACCAGCGATTGTGACAAGAAACCCAGAAGTATCAGGGTTCCTTTGGGTGGCCAAACTTCTAAGGTAATTTATTTGCATTCTGTACAATGAGTCCATTGATTAGCCATTCGATCAATCACCAAATGATCCTCACATACATCTTTTATTATATTGACCAAAGGTGATAATAGAGAATTTTCGTTATAAGTTGTTTCAAAAACTTATACGTATACTTATAGTTTAAAGGGTCTTGTCGAACTAAAATCAATTCAAATTAATTTTCATAATCTGTACCAAGTGGGGCATAACTATTCCCGATATAGTCAAGCTACATCATCAACTAGGGACTGCGAATACAATGTCCTTTGCTAGTGTCAATTATGAACACGATAAACTAAACGCTAGTTGACGGGTCCTTGTAGTGTACGATAAACAAGACCCTTTAAAGTGAATCACTACACGAACGAGTCGATCATTTCAAAGTTCTCATGAAATTATAAGGACAATTTTTAAGTTTTTACGTATAAAAGGGCCTTTATACGCAGATTATAAACTTACAGAGTTGGATCTCCGCATGGTATATGTGTGGACCTACTGACCAGAATGGCTTATTAAAATTAATCGGCTGAATAGGCATAGTATCCAATCAAACAGCTCAACTCATTCATTAGCTGAACTAATTCTCCCTTCGTTATTTCTACAAGGTGATTCAAAACGATCATCTACAAAAAATACATTTGAGAGTAGATAAATCTGTAAAACCCGTGTGCTATATCAGCCTATTTGATTCTAGAAAACACATTTGACACAACTAAACATGCTTTACATCAAGGGGGTACGGATGGTATGCCATTGGCCCTTTTTATTACCGTCCTAGGAGATATTTCCCGACGAATTAGGAAATTATAAAACACCTTGTTTATTGGGTTTATAAGTAAAAGTATACGTATACGTTTTTAAAAACTTATAACGAAAATTCTCTAATAAGTAAAAATTGTCTGATCTTGAAAGTCTAGTATAGTGATGCCACCTATTTATTTAAAGAGAGGATGATATTTAATTTCATCCCACAACGAGATGTACCTATGTACAAAATATTTGTAAAATTATTATTACCTTGACAATAGTGTCACGTTTTTTGGCTATTTAAAGCTTCAATGTAACCGACATGTGAAACAAATAAAGGAAAGTTTGAAAAATCTCAATGAAACGTGTTTAAATAAATGCAGTCTGCAGGCTGGTACATGCGAACCATTTTTTTGTTCACGATACACAAATACAGTAGGTTAAATGTTAACAACAACTCATGTTATTCGATTAGCACTACAAGGCCAGTACCTTGTCGTATACATAAGATGGAGGCGAACACCCTGGTTGTATTTGTAAATGGAGTAAAGGTAAAGTTTGAAATATGTACATTGACAAGGAACTTTTAGATAATATAATTACATTGCATCAATATATTTCTTTCTTAATATTTCTATCATACAGAATTTCTAACATATAGAATGTATGAGTATAAATAACGTAGATGGTGTCAAAGCTTGAATGTTATCGTATTTTAGCATACAGAAGTGAATCCTAGTTTAGAGACTACTCTGTTGCAGTATCTCAGAACAGAATGTATCCTTTTAAGATCCTTCTTTCAGCTAGTAAATGATTATATAATCGACTGCACATAGTACACATTCAAAATATTAATGATTCATGAAATATACAAACATTAACATTTTGAAGGTGTCATCGGAATATTTGAGAGAGTGCAACCTGTCTTGATCCTAAGAATAGTATGTGCTCATAATGTTACGCGGTAACACGATACAAATATATGCCATATTCACTTGCGTTGTACATGACAGATTCACCTGCGGTATATGGCATACACATTAACGAGAACGCTATACGGAAGTTCGCAATTGTCAATTACATTGATTTGACGGACGGATTAAAGTCTATAAATTATTATGATGATTACTGAATCAACAGGTCAGTGCATTGAATATATGAACTAGCACAATTGAATAACATATACCGATGGTACCTGTATTGTTTGATGTTGTTTTATATATGTGTTACACGCAAACACTCACTCCAAGGGAAACGTTATTATTATTCGTGAAGCTTATGAGTGACTTTACAACCAAATCTACAGTTTACAAAGACCAGACAAAAACCTGAAAAACAAAAGTATT